AAAATTGATTCCATGTGTGCTTTATTCCCATTCCAAACAAATACACACGGTGTTACCTGTCCTTTAGTTACAGCACCTGCCTCAGCTGACCTGCAGCAAAGTTCTCCCAGCTTTGGACAGCAAGAAGAACTGCTGCAAGACAAGGAAATCAAACTACCACTTCCCAAACATCTGACCAGGTGGCAGATCAAAACTCAGTTGTTGGAAGTCATCCAGGATTTATAAATTGAGGATACACAGTGGGAAACTAAATAACTAAAAGTTATGGCATGTAGAGTGATCTGTCCTCTGCTCTGGGTCACTGATGGAGAGGAAGTGATGCAGAAAGAACTCCAAGCTCATCTTAGTGTTCCGTGTACAAAGGCAGATGCACTCTGCTTTAATTCCGATTGCCTCCTGGTTCAGGATTGCACCCACCCAGTGCTTACAGGATGACATTTAAAGCTCTGTCTCCTGCATTTCAGACTTGGCAGGGGAAATCCACCTCGCCAAACACGAGTCCCTCCTGCTTTAGGCTGGGCCCGAGTCCCTGCTCCGGGAGGAGCTGTGCCTGTGCTGATGCAGCCCAGGCCGGGAGGGGCTGCTCCAGGGATACTCGGGCTCACTCCTGCCCTTACAGAGCTCAAAGGCCTCAGGGTGCTGCTGAGGAATTCACAGGCTCCACAGACACCAGGAGAACGGAGCAACAGCGTCTTTAGTCTTTCCAGAGCTGCTTCTGCAAGTTTCATCCTTGAATTCTGCTTCTGACAAGAGTGAAGGCACTTGCTTGTAGTTACCAAAATGATTTTATCAAAACTAATCATGAATGTAATTTATAACAATGGCCAGACACAGGCAGGAATTCTACCTAAGTGTTTGTATTAGAACGACTGGGGTTTGTAGCATCTCAGAATATAATATTGTGATGATTTTGAATAAAAGAAATGTAACTTTTTCCAATTTACTGGAGGTATTTTGCTATATAAAACTTTATTACTGGGCAAGAACATCCTCTTTTTACCGACACTTAGAGCAAAAATGTTTTGCCAGTACATTTTGTGTTCCACAATGATAAAAGCCCTTTCAGTGGGACAGATGCCACGTCCTGTGTGTGCCTGTTGGCCTTCTGCTTCCTTACACGTGGAAACCCATCTCTGAGACAGCACTGTGCATCTGGCTGCTTGGAGATCTGCCTTCTGCCCTTCCCTTGCCCAAACCCAGGGATCTGAGTGACAGTGCTGTGCTGACCCTGAGGATGAGCCATTCCCACTGTGCTGGCACCGTGAGGCCCTGCCTGCAATCCTGGGAGCGGTTTTGAGTCTCTCACAAGAAAGGCATTGAGGGGCTGGAGCGTGTCCAGGGAAGGGAACAGAGCTGGGAAGGGTCTGGAGCCCCAGGAGAGGCTGAGGGAGCTGGGAAGGGGCTGAGCCTGGAGAAAAGGAGGCTCAGGAGGGACCCTGACAACTTCACAACTCCCTGACAGGAGGGGACAGCCAGGGGGGTCGGGCTCTGCTCCCAGGAACAGGAGAGGGAATGGCCTCAGGCTGGGCCAGGGGAGGTTTGGATTGGATATTGGGGAAAATTTTTCCATGGAAAAGGTTGTCCAGCCCTGGCACAGCTGCCCAGGACAGTGGTGGACTCACCATCCCTGGAGGGATTTAAAAGCCACATGGATGTGGCACTTGGGGACACGGGTCAGTGGTGGCCTTGGCAGTGCTGGGGGAACACCTGGACTCCCATGATCTCAGAGGACTTTTCCAACCTCAGCAATTCTCAATGACTTTTATTTATCAGGAGGGATGAGGATGCCACTCCAGAGCTGCACAGAACTGCAGCAGTCCATCAGCACACAGCAACAATGTGCTCAAGGCTGTGCCAAAAGCTGCTGCTCCTGCACAAAGAACCGTGCTCCCTTCAGCAGCTCCGTGCTCCTGAGGGGGTGACCCTGCCTGCCTGCAGATCATTGAACCAGACAAAACTCCAAGTGTGAAGAACACAAAAAGACCCAGAACCTCTTTTATTAAATCAGCACCCACCCACTGGGTGTGATTCTCCCAGAGGGAGCAGCACCAACACCACACACCCCAACATTCCCCCACTGCCACTTTGCTTCTGTGCAATAAAATACTGAAAACTTCTAACTGAGGTATTCAGAGCTTCCCAGAAAAACAGGAAACAGATGCCTGTGTGCAGAGGCCTGCCCTGTCTGTTGTTGATCCACCACTGAGTTTAGGCTTAATAAAAATTGCATGATTTCTTAAAAGGTCACATACACCTTTGAGGCTGGAGTGGGAGAGCTGGGCTTGCTGGATATACAGTGGTGTCTACAACTTCACTTATGCAACGTAAGATAAATCCTAGGAATCACATACATCTCAGCCACGTGCTGCTGTGTTTATTCCAAATCCAGCTCCAGCTCCAGGTTGGGCAGTGCCTGCTGAAGGACACGGAAGGTCTTTTCTTTCTCTCTGATCCCAGGAAGGTCACTCAGATACAAATATTCCAGGTTCCTGTAAATATTCAAAAAGAAAATGGGCAACTACTATTGAATTGCTGACAGAGAAATTGAAGAAATTATTCTACTGCATAAGAATTTTGTTGTTTCGAGTATTTTAAATGGTGACTGGAACGTTTGGTATTTTAAATGGTTCTAAGGGAAGTTTGTTTCTGAAGTGGGTGCTTGGGGTTTTTAGCTGCAGTATCCAACTGCACCCCATTCCTGAGGCACAAGAGGAATGCAGGAAGCTGTGAGGTGGAGAAGCACTAAAAGCTACGGGACACAGCCAAACCCTGCCCTGCAGAGCTGCTGCAGGAGGGGTCAGAACAGCAGCCAAGCTGATCATTACTTACTTACCCTCGAGCCCACCCCACAGCCCTGCCACAGGCAGACTGCAGCACAATCCCAACCCCACAGAGCCGGGAGCAGGGAGCTGTGGAAGCACTCAGCGGCTCACATACGTCAGCTTGTGGAGTGCAAGGATGCCTTTGTCTGTGACATTCCCACAGGAAATGATCTTCAGCTGCTGCAGACTCTTCTGGAGGTTGCTGGTCTCGCTGAGCCTCTGCAGACACTCGTCCTGTATGTACATGCACTTCTCCAGCTTGATGTCCGTAACGTGCTCCAGGCCATCTGCAAAGGCACCACTGAGGATCTGCTCCAGAATTCCAGCACCAGCCTGTGCTGGTGGTTAACTTCTCCATTTAATAACTGCCCCTAAAACCACCCAGCAACACATTCCTTTATACACAATGAATCTCCAAAGTCCCTTTGTGCTACTTCAGATTTAGGAAAACCTTGGGGTTTGAGCCATTTCAGTAAGATTTCAAGAGGATTGAAATGGGCAAGTAACAGAAAACCTACACAATTTTTGGTAATAAACAATGACTCTGACATAAGAAAGTGCTAATGCCAGAAATTCAGGGTCCCTTGCTATGGAAAAATAAAACAGCCTGTTCCCATTTTGTTTTCTGTTATTTACAGGCCACCTGAAACCTGTTTAATCACTTATTTTTAAGACATTTAAGAGAGCCGACTTTTTGTCTATGAAGACATCACAAAATCCTGGAGAATGAGCAGAATTACAACTTCAGAGACACTAAAATCATCCCTTGGTGCAGAATAAAAATAATATTTATAGCGCTTTTTGCTACGAACTCATCAAAATTTGTGGCACCTCCTTAGTGCTGCAGCCACTTTAGGTAAAATCTGAAGTTCTCAATGTCTTTCCACTTCATACCACACCTCCAGCAAAACCTTGGGGACTGATAAATATTTGTAAAGGAGGAAAAAACCCACAAATTATTCATCTGTATCTTGCTAAGGAAGGAGAAAAACGACACCATTCTTCATATTTTGATGCAATTAAAGTGACACCCATTACGAACAATCACCGTGTGTACATTACCCAGATAGTCAAACCCTCTGTACATGATGCAGGAGTCAGTGGCGCTGATGGCTTCGATCTTGTACTTGCCCAGGGGCCCCGTGGGGAGCCCATTGTAGTCCTGCTGCCACTTGGGCGAGCCCTGGTACCTGACCAGGGCCCCGCAGCGCAGCAGCCACTCCGAGGCCGCCCGGTCCGGACCCACGGCTCGGATGCGCTCGTGGTCCACCCTGCAGTGCGGCACAATTATTCCATAATTAATCACAATTAACATCCCTGCCCGCGTAATATCCGGTTATGTGCACGGTCAGAGAAGTAAGGATGGGATTTACTAAAAATGGTACACCGGTGATTTTTGCATTGTGCAGTCCTCAATCTGGCGTGAGGTTTAACTTAAGTGGAAGATGCTTCTTAGTAAAAAAAGAATACAAATATAACTGGACTTAACTCTGTTTCCGTCCATGTCTGTAAGGAAAGGAAACTGTGCTACTGGTTGAGTGTTGGGGTAAATGAAGAGCAGGATTCAGGGATGGGATCCATGTGGCCAGCTTGCCTTGCCCATTCCAGGGCAGGGGCAGAGCCCGCACCTTTCCTTGGAATGTCACGGCTTGGCAAGGGCAGGCAGCACAGACTGACCCCTGCCCACCAACCAACATGCAATCTGGGGGGAAAGGGGCGCATTAATGACACAAAACCTTTTCTGCAGCGCAGGGACTTGATTGTTCTGCTTCACAAACCGCGCAGACAATTTGAGGGCTCTGAAAGTTAATTATTAACCAGCGACTCACTCTTACTTGTTGAACACGGCATTCAGCCATCCCCAGAAGGCTCTACAACTGCCCGGCGGCAGCGGCGGCTTCCTCAAGAGCGTCCCCAAAGCCATCATCACCTTGTGGCAGCGGGAGAGGGGGAAAGGCGGACGTCGTTAGCAGCAGCAGGGGGAGGCCGTGCCGCCCTCAGGGCCTGACCGGGGCTGTCAGCAGGGGGTTGCAGGGGGGGCGCTTGCCCGGCGGAGCGGAGCAGGAGGGGCAGAAGGAGGAGAGGAGGAGAGGAGGACAAGAGGAGGAGGAGGAGGAAGAGGAGAGAAAAGAGAGGAGGTAACGCGGCCGCGGCCCCGGCGCTCCCTCCGCCCCCAAGATGGCGGCGGCGCTGAGGGGCCGCGCGCGCCCGGGCGGGGCCGCGGCGCTGTGGCGGCTGCAGAGGCGGCGGCGCAGGTGAGGCCGCCTCACACCGCACCTTCCTCTAGAACCCTGCCTCTGCCCTGTCCTAGCCACCTGAGCCTTGTCCCTGTCCCCTGTGCTTTCCCCTCACCCCCTCCCCTCTCTTCTTACCTCTGCTCATCCACTTCCCCTGTCCCTTTCTGTACCACTTCCCCCTATCCTTTCCTCTCTCCCCTTCCCCTCTCTTCTTACCTCTGCTCATCCACTTCCCCTGTCCCTTTCTGTATCATTTTCCCCTATCCCTTCCCCTCACTCCCTCCCCTCTCTTCTTACCTCTGCTCATCCATTTCCCCCGTCCCTTTCTGTATAATTTTCCCTTATCCTTTCCTCTCACCCCTTTCCCTGTCTTCTTACCTCTGCTCATCCATTTCCCCTGTCCCTTTCTGTATCATTTTCCCCTATTCTTTCCTCTCACCCCTTCCCTTCACTTCTTACCTCTGCTCATCCATTTCTCCCGTCCCTTTCTGTATAATTTTCCCCTATCCTTTCTCCTCTCCCCTTCCCCTCTCTTCTTACCTCTGCTCATCCACTTCCCCCGTCCCCTTTCTGTACCATTTCCCCCTATCTTTCCCCCTTTCCCTGTCCCTCTCACCTGTATCCTCTATGTTTGCTCTATCACCTTTCCCTCTCCCCTTTTCCTCTCTCCTTTATCCCCTATATTCTCTATAGCCACTTCCCCTGTGTGAAAAAATGAATGTTTTATGATTGGCTTTTCGCAAATGTTACGATGAATATTATATGTGTAATGTTTGAAAGTTATGCTGTATTAATTCTCTTAAGTAATGTGTTAAATATATTTTTAGGTTATAACACAATATTAAAATAGAAACTATGCTGTGTAAGATACTTTTTAACTAGCTCAAGAAAGAGATGAGATAATCAAGAAATTCTTCGCACAGAGATAACAGCAACAGGGCACATAAAGAGTTGCAGCCTCCTTATTGGAAAAGACATTCTTCCACCTTCTCTCTGTCTTTATGGAACCACCAGGATTAAGGGGAAGAAGCTGACAAAAACCAGAAAAACTCTTACTTAATTTGCAAGGAATTTATGCACCACGTATGAGATATATGAATATGCAACAGGCTATTGCTTTTAAGGGTTATTCCTTTGTTCACAAGGTATGCTTTTCATGACTTAGTGTCTGAGAGCATTCAGATGGATGTCCGTAATTCTCTGCTTTTTATTGTCTTGTAATTGTCCTAACTCTAAATTTTTATTACTCTAACTGTAGTACTATTTTTATAACCGTTTTATTATTATTAAACTTTTAAAAATTCTAAAAAACAGTGATGGGCGTTTTTCACACCCTTTATATCCTTTATCTGCCATCCCTATCCTTTTCTGCTTTACATTATTAATCACCCCTATCCGCTTTCCTCTATCCCATTTTCCTCTCCCTTATATCCCCTTTTTTCCTTAGATCTCCTTCCTTTATATCCCCCCTCCCTATCCCATCCTCTTTCCCTGTCCCCCCTGTTCCTTACACCCCGTGTCCGTGTCCGTGTCCCCACCCGGGCCGTGCTGACGGCCGTGGCCGTGTCCCCGCAGCTCGTTCGACGTGGCCGTGGTGGGCGCGGGGATCGTGGGGCTGGCGGCGGCCCGGGAGCTCATCCAGCGCCATCCCTCGCTGGCCTTCGCCGTGCTGGAGAAGGAGCAGGAGCCGGGTACGGAGCAGGGACGGGGACCCACGGGAGGCTGGGATAGTGGGAGGTGTCCCTGCCCATGGTAAGGGGTTTAATGAGGTGATCTCTAAAGTTCCTTCCATGCCAAACCATCCTGGAATTCTGTGATGGCTCTCACAGAATTCACAGGTTGGAAGAGACTTTCAAGACCATCGAGTCCAACCCAGCCCCAACACCTCAACTCAACCCTGGCACCCAGTGCCACATCCAGGCTTTGTTAAACACACCCAGGGATGGTGACTCCACCACCTCCTGGGCAGAACATTCCAGAACTTTATCACTCTTTCCATTAAAATATTTTTCCTGATATCCAACCTGTATTTTCCTTGGTGCAGCTTGAGACTGCATGTCAGTGCCAAGACTCTCCCCTAACAGGGGATTTCTTCCACCCTTTTCCCAAGGATGTGTTCTTCATCAGAGTTGTCATGGTCTGTGCTTTGCTGCTGGGACTGCAGGTTGGGAATTTGAAGTTCAGAGATCCTGAGTGCTGCTGCTGCACTGTCAGGAGAGAGGACAAGGAGGGTGAATAACCAGGATAAGGAATAGTGCAGCTTGTGGGAGGGCACAGGCAGGTCCTGCATGGAGCTGGCAGAATCCCAAGGGATAGACATCAGTGATGAACTCCAAACAGGACCTGTGAGCTCAAAATCTTGTCTTAAATAGCTCCATCAGCCTGGCTATAAATAGATATTGAGATGTTCCATGAATGATGCAAAATTACTATTTATCCCCAAGACATACACCAAGTCCTTAACAGCTGTGTGAGTGTCAAGCAGGAATGGCCTTTGGGCATCCATACCTTAAGCCTGACCAAATTACTTCACTAAAAATGTTTGTGGTATTTTTCACCTCAATTTTATCTATTTGCAAAGAGAAAATAGCAACCTAACGCAGTTCACAAATACTCAAAAATCCTCCCTGGCCTGCTAGCATGTCCAAAGGAATTGTGGATTGCACAGATACTATGTTAGATGAGGCCTTAAGGGATGCATTTCATTGTAAAAATTGCATTTTTTTCAAATTAATTTTAGCCTGTAAAACTTTTTGATTGATTGGCTTGTTCTTGAAGGAAAAATTTGTGGTTTTAGGAGTTTTTCCCCTGTTGGTCCAACACAATGCAGGCTGTGATGGATTATCATTAACTAGGGCTGGCTGTGTCAGTGTTTCTCTCACCCTTTGAGGCCAGGGGAGGAATTAATTGTGCAGTTCTCTCACTTGATCATCTCTTATAATGCTGATTTAAGGCAGGACCTCAATCAACTCATTTTTCTGACAGCAGAAGTGATGAAGTGGGAACAATGAGCTCTAACAATGTGTTTTTTTTGTCTCTCTAGCCCATCACCAGAGTGGACACAACAGCGGTGTGATCCACAGTGGGATTTACTACACCCCTGGCTCCCTGAAGGCCAAGCTCTGCGTGCAGGGGGCAGCCCTGTGCTACAAATACTGTGACCAGAAGGGGATTCCCTACAAACAGTGTGGGAAGGTACAGGAATTCCTGTGATTCCCTGCTTTACCCTTGGAAACTGAAGCTGTGTGGTGTGTGGCACAACATACGGCACAGGCCTGGTCGTGGGTTTTCTCTACACTCTCCAAAATGCACATCATTTTATACATAAATGTATATAATGTACATAAATGTACATAATTCCCTCCTGCCCCAAAACCATCCCTTCCTGCTGATGAGTCTCAGTTTGAGGGAAGGTTTTTCATGACTCTCCCCACCCTGTCTTCAGGCTCACAGCCATTTCTAATTCAGTGTGTCTTTGGTGAGAACCAGGACTGGGCAGAGCATTCCAGGTGTGGTCAGGCTCAGTGAAACAGAATTCTGTATCCATTTTCCCAGTTCTGTAGCCCATTCCCCAGCTCAATTCAGGTTTTCCAGCTCTCACTGGGCATTGAGCTGCTGTTTCCACAGGACTCCCTACCCTGACCCCAAGGTTTTGGCCCTGAGGGATAAATTTGAATTCCATGTTTTTTCTTGGAGCTGTGTCTGGTCCCTGCTCCCTCTGCTGCCACGCTGGGCACAGGGTGGCACTGTGGATCTGTGCACAGCACACCTGAGGGGACAGCCTGCTCAAAGCTCCTGTCCTGGAGGGGTCAGCTGGAGCCTGGGCGAGCTCAATTTGTGAATTTTGTACCAAAACAGAATTTTGCTCCAACTGCAGCTGGAGCAGGGCAGTGCCTGTCCCCTGTGCTGGCACTGCTGGGCCACCTCCAGTGCTGGGGGCAGCTCTGGGCTCCTCACAGCAAAGCCACAGGAGGAGCTGGAGCGTGTCCAGGGCAGGGAACAGAGCTGGGAAGGGGCTGGAGCCCCAGGAGAGGCTGAGGGAGCTGGGAAGGGGCTGGAGAATTCCTGAGGGAACTGGGAAGGGGCTGGAGAATTCCTGAGGGAGCTGGGAAGGGGCTGGAGAATTCCTGAGGGAGCTGGGAAGGGGCTGGAGAGTTCCTGAGGGAGATGGGAAGGGGCTCAGCTTGGAGAAAAGGAGGCTCAGGGGGACCTTGTGGCTCTGCACAGCTCCTGCCAGGAGGGGACAGCCAGGAGGATCAGGCTCTGCCCAAGGGAACAGGGACAGGAGCAGAGGGAACAGCCTCAAGTTGCACCATGAAGCTTTAGGTTTGATACTGGGGAAATTCCTTTGTGGAAAGGTTTGTCCAGCCCTGGCACAGCTGCTCAGGGCAGTGCTGGAGTCCCCATCCCTGGAGGGATTGAAAGTCTCTGTGGATGTGGCACTTGGGGACATGGAGCAGTGGTGGCATTGGCAGAGCTGAGGGAGCAATTGGACTCAGAGAGCTTTTCCAACCTCAACAATTCCACAATTCCATGACACTCCCCTGGCAGTGTTCATTCCAGGGAAGAGAATGGTGAAACTTCAGCTTTTCCTAAAGCAGCCCCAGGCTTGGAGAGCTTCACACCTGTGAGGTGCCAGAGCTGGGCTGGCCTGGAAGGATCATGGTCTATGCAAACCTGGCACAGGTAATTCACAGCCTGGATTTATCTCCTGTGATAGCTGTGAACAGACTCCTTGGTTAAATGAAACTGGTACAATTCCACTCAGACCATGTCAGAACATGTCCTCACTCTCTTATTGAGGCTCTTGGAGGTTTGTACATCTTGGGTTGAGTTCAGTTTTACTTCTGAAAGCATCCCAGTGGTTCTTCAAATTCAAATTCTCTTCTCTCACATGCAGATTTGTAGTCTCAGGCTGCTTCTGGCAAATATTGTCAATTGATAGTAACCCAAACTACAGTTTAGTGTTTATTTTTTAATTCTCTGTGATAGATTAGTGCTTCCTCACCAACAGAATTCTGTGCAATTAATGGCACCAACCATTCTTCAGCCGCTGGATTTATTGTTCACTCATTCACTACTGCTTGTGCTTGATGCCAAACCTGCCCTGGCTCTGTTTTGCTCACTGCTGTGCCTTTTTTCCTTCCCCAAAGCTGATTGTGGCTGTGGAGCAGGATGAAATTCCAAGGCTCAAAGCTCTGTATGAGAGGGGGCTGCAGAACAATGTCCCAGGACTGAAACTCATTGGAGCCAAGGAAATCCAGGAGAAGGAGCCCTTCTGCAGGGTAAGGGGTTGCCATACTTCCAATTAGCTAATTGTAAGAGCTTCTAATTCTAATTGTCAGAGCTGTTTTTCAGGTGAAAACATCTTTTAGTTTAACACAAATACTTTTCTGGTCTTGAGGCTCAAGCTCAGAAGAGCCTGAAAATTCCTTCCCAACCATAAAAGTAGATTTGGATCGAGCCCATTTCAGTGCAGTTGGTGTGGTTGTTATGTAGCACTTCTCAGCCAGTTCTCACAGCAGGAGGAATGTGTGGAGTTTGTGGAGCACAGATTTGTTATTGATTATTCTGTCTTTGTTTGAAAGGAAAGGCTGGATGTGAATTCCCTGTGCTGTTTCATCTGGCAGCTTGCTCTGTTGTAGCTGTGTCACAGGAGTGACGGTTGTAGGTACAGACAGAAATTTTCTAGAAATGAGTCTTTTTCCATCTTTTTTCTTTTCCCTGTAAACATTTTGGATCTGCTCCCTAAAACCCCCTTTGAGTGTTCCAGATGCAGCTGAGCACGTGGGGAGACAGCAGCACTCCCTTCTCGTGGCATTGCAGATGTTGCAGATGAAATATTCCAACTTCACTCATCCTCTGTGTCTCTGAAACCCTTCCAGGGACTGATGGCCCTTGATTCTCCCTACACTGGCATTGTGGATTACAAACAAGTGGCCCAGTCCTATGCCAGAGACTTCCAGGAAGCAGGTGGGACCATCTTGACTGATTTTGAAGTCACAAACATGGAGATGGCCAAAGAAAGTTCTGCAGAAAGTGAAGATGGTAAGGCTGGATTTTTTTGCCCTCTATTTACTACAAAGATTTTGTTCAAAACACAATTGTTTTAACTGAAATGGCATTTCTGATTTTTTTCTCTCTCCTAGGGATGAGAAAAAAGGCAAAATTCTCTTACTGACAGTATTCAGCAAACTCACTTGGGGTTTTTTTTGCAGGCAGGTCACCCTTCAGCTGAAACATTTAAAACTGATGGAAGAAAGAGTAAAATGGAGAAATAAAGTTGTTCTCTCCTCTTAAATCAAATTTATCTGAATCTTGCATGTTTATTCTTGTGATTGTGATTTTCCTTATCTTGAAGGCAGGTTGGATCTGTGCTGGCACACAGAGAGAAGAATAAAAACCATATTAATTAATAAATACAGCCATGTACAACAACATTAATTATGACAACAGTAGTTCTTCCATAGCTTAGAAAATATTCCAGTGGAAAATTCCTTCCTGGTGACAAGCTGCTTCTTCTGTCAATTCTCTGTTACTTGTTTTAGTAACTTGTTTTAGTAACTCCTTCTCTTGTCTAATTCCATTTCAGGGCTGAAATACCCAGTGATTGTTAGGAACAAAAAGGTAAGAGTGAAAAAGAAGTTTTCGTTCCTTCCAGGAAACTGCTTCTCCTATTCTTCAGATTTTTTTTTTCTTGTGAATTAATAATTTCCAAAAAACAAAAATAGTTAAAAAGCTGTTGTTCAGCAACATGACCAGTTTGATGAAACAACTGCAATCAGTTCTCAACAATGAGGATGTTCAAATTATTTGATAATAATAATAATGATTATGTAAAATATTAAACTACAGCTTTCTGCTGCCTAACATTTACATCCCTTACCTGATTTATTTGCACAATCTGATGCTTGTGCTCCCAAGAGCTCCTTTATGACTTGTTCATTTGGTGACAAACACCAATTTTCATGTTTACTTTTGGGCTCTGGCATCCATAAAATGATAAGGAGGATTTTAGCATCATTTTCTTACAATTTTATCATCAGAACTGCTTCAGTGAAACAGGTGCATGACAGCTGCTGTTCCTGCAAGTCAGGAACTGTGATTCACCTTCAGGAGGGAATATCTGGAACAAAAACACCTTCACAACCCCTCTGGTCATTTTTAAATTTAGTTCTGCTGCTTTTTTCTCCTATTTTTTTGCTCTTTCATTAAAAAGTAGCTTCCAAAATCTGTTAAGATTTTTTCCACCAAATACTGCTATTTTTTTCATGCAAACATTTTTCAGTTTGGGAAAAAAAATCGTATTTAAAAGCAGATACTGTGAGCTAAATAAATAGATAGTAGTTTTTAATTTTTATTTATTAATTTATTTAAATGGTAAAGGTGTTTAACATTTGCAGGTCTCCATACCTGTGTGCTGTCAATTTGTGTAGCTGCTCCCACGCTGTGAGATCAAATCAGTGAACATCCTTATTTAACTTACCTAAATAAGTTAACTTTTTTTCAATAAGTTAAATAAATTTTATTTATTTAAATAAACGCCTGTGGGGTTTTCCTGGGTGTTTTTTTAAGGAGATAAATAGAATTGTAATGTGTTTTTTTGTTTCCCACAGGGTGAGGAGATCTCCTGTGGGCACATTTTGACCTGTGCAGGGCTTCACTCCGACCGCCTGTCCCAGATCAGCGGCTGCAGCCCCGAGCCCAGGATTGTCCCATTCCGGGGGGATTATTTGGTGCTAAAGCCAGAAAAGTCTTACTTGGTGAAAGGAAATATTTATCCAGTATGTACCCCCTGGTTTGTCTGTCACAGGGTGCCCTAAGAGCTGCTAAAAAAGCAGAAAAAGGAAAAAAATTCCGTGGTTGTTTCTGTCAGACAGCGATACACACGCGTGGATGGAGATTCAGGTGGTTTTGGACAGCTCAGCTTGGATTTTGTAAATTTTTTTGTTAATTTAGGAAAACATGGAAGTGCCATGTGGGAAGTTATTGCCAGTTTTGTTTATGATTTTAGTTTAGTTTTGTTTTGTTTTTTTACTTAATAGAGAAAAGATGGAATGGCCACACATTGCCACATATCCAGAAAACTCTAAATTATTTCTGTATGTCCTAAAATAAATCTGTAGGCAGGATTCAGAAGTCAGGGAGAGATGACAGCCAATTATTATTTATTATTTAAATAATTATAACAATCCTGTTTAATCTCTTTATTGATAATCTGGACAGAGGGGTTGACTGTACCCTCAGTAAATTCACAGATGACACGGGAGGTCTTTTCCAGCCTCAGTGGTTCTGGGATTCTGTGATGAATGATTGATGAAGGGTTCAATCTTTTGTCCTAATACCCAACACTCAGATTTAGGTATTTTCCTCTCAAGCCTATTTTTGAATTAGCTGATTTTGTCATTAAAAATAGATGTGGGAGAAAGGGGAACAACCTTTCTACCACCTAATATAGACAAATAATGGGAGGAGAAGCAGCAATCCCAGACAGAAAATGTAGTTACAGAGCAAGTGGAGAGAATTCCTAGGGCATCATTTTAGCTAATTCTGTACATTTAAACACTGATTTTCTGAATATCAGATTGGCTTTAAGTGCTAAATAATGGATCTTTAGGAAAATTGGAATGCTGGGCATTGCTCTTTATCTGATCTCACCTAGGAATGATTCAGGATCCTGTCTTGGGATGGGAGGGAGGAAGTGGAACAAAAAAAAGAACATGCAGATTTATTATTATTAGCATTATTGTCATTATTATTAGCATTAACCAGACCTGCTAAGTTCAGGCTGGTTTGTACACACAGTAAGGGTTTCCTAATATTTTGTATTCTATTTTATTGCAGTATAATTGCTGCTGGTGAATAAAATCAGGGTGTTGTTGGCTTGTATCCTAAGAAATCATGTGGAATTTTTTTTCCCCTGTAATTTGTTTTCCTTTTCCCTAAAATTCAGCTTTATCTGGCCCTGCTCTGTTTTCCAGTGTTTTAATTAATGACATGCTACAACTGCACAATTAACAAGCAGCAAAAGCAGCTCAGAGCCAGTCCTGAGGTTCTGTGACTCAGAGTTTTGTTGCTGTGGAGGGAAATGAAATGGCAAATTTGCTGTTTGTAAGAGCTCTGCTCACTCCTGTGTCCCATTGCAGGTTCCCAACCCTCGTTTCCCATTCCTGGGATTCCATTTCACTCCCAGGATGGATGGCAGCATTTGGCTTGGCCCTAATGCAGTGCTGGCCTTTAAGAGAGAGGGCTACAAACTCTTGGACTTCAGCCCTGGAGACTTCTTGGATGCTGTGACCTACAGGTGATGCCTCATGTTTGTGTCTGCTGGCTGCTCTTGTTGAAGTGTGAGCCATGGAAGTCACTTTCTGCCCAAAATCCTGCTTTTCCCACGTTTTTGGTGTGTTTAAAGACACTTGTGTTGACTTCCCCAAAGCATTTGACTTTGTGTGGTCTCATATTTGAATTTTCCACCAGGACATGTCTCAGCCAGTCTGGGTATGTGGCTGCTCACTGGAAGGTGCTGGTGGAGCTTTTCTGGGGTTGGTTTGCACTGTGATAACTTAATCAACTTAGACAGCATCATTAAATACCTGCAGGAGGTGCTGGGAGCAGAGAAAGGCTGGGAGAGAGAGTTGGGAATGTTCCCCTGGAGAGGAGAAGGATCCAGGCAGAGCTCAGAGCCCCTGGCAGGGCCTGAAGGGGCTCCAGGAGAGCTGGAGAGGGACTGGGGACAAGGGATGGAGGGACAGGACACAGGGAATGGCTCCCCGTGCCAGAGGGCAGGGATGGATGGGATGTTGGGAATTGGGAATTCCTGTCTGGGCTGGAATTCCCAGAGCAGCTGTGGCTGCCCCTGGATCCCTGTCAGTGTCCAAGGCCAGGTTGGACAAGGCTTGGAGCACCTGGGATAGTAGAAGGGGTCCCTGCCCATGCCTCATCCCCCATCCAAGCTCCATCAAGTCCTGGAACACTTCCAGGACTGGAATTCAGAATCAATTCAATGCCACAGCTCTGTGAGCAAGGTGTGTTGAAGCAGAGAAGGACAAACATGCATTTCTCAAATAAAAAGCACGATGTGATTCCTGATTTTGGGATGGGAACTTGTGCCCTGCACTTGCTGCCTTGTCCAGCAGCTGCACCTGGTGCATTTTGAGGCAGGTTTTCCCTCAGTGCAGTTGTTTCTCCCCTGGCAGTGGGCTGTGGAAGCTGGTGCTGAGGAACGTGTCCTACGGCCTGGGGGAGCTGTACAGAGCCTTCTCCCTCAGTGCCCAGGTGAGGCAGCTGCAGAAGTTCATCCCTGAGGTCACCACCAATGATGTTCTCAGGTAAAAGAAGCTTCTTCTGTTTGGGAAATCTTGTATTTGAACAGCAGAAATCTTGGTAGGGGTTTGGTCCCTTCCTCCACCAAAGTACGAAACAGAAGCTTGGAGCTGCTTCCAGCTTGGAGGTCCCGTCACAGGAAGGACCTGGAGCTCCTCAGTCCAGAGGAGGCACCAGGATGATCAGGGGCATGGAGCAGCTCTGCTGGGAGCAAAGGCTGAGAATTTTGGGATTGTTCAGCCTGGAGGAGAGAAGCTTTGGGGTGACCTCACTGTGGCCTTGCAGTACTTGAGGAGAACCTGCAGGAAGATGGAGAGGGATTATTTACAGGGCCTGGGAGTGGTAGGATGAGGGGGAATGGCCTCAACCTGACAGAGGGCAGATTTAGATGGGATACTGGGGGGAATTCCTGGCTGTGAGGGTGGGGGGCCCTGGCACAGGGTGCCCAGAGCAGCCCCTGGATCCCTGGAGGTGCCCAGGGCCAGGTTGGACAGGGCTTGGAGCCATCTGGGACAGTGGAAATGTCCCTGCCATGGCAGGATGGGCTTCAAGCTCACAGCTTGGCCACCTCGATGATCCCATGACTGTCAGATGCCCCCAGTCTACCTCCTGAGTGTTAAAACTCCCCAAAAATACGCTTTGTCTCCACTCTCTGCCCTCCTCCTTGTCTCTCTGGACACCTCACAGGAATTCATTTCCTGACTCAGGACCTGTGGCAGCACATTTCTCTCCCTCTCAGGATTTTTCATAGAGGTGCACAGAGAGAAATGAAAGAGAAAACAATTAATATTTCTGCTCCTTGTTTTTCCCATGTGGAATGTGCTTGGAGAATTGTTTACCTGGGGTGATTGCTTGGTTGGATTCTGGTGAGGATTGTTTGAGCCTGATGGCCAATCCAATCCAATCCAATCCAATCCAATCCAACCCAATCCAATCCAACCCGACCCAACCCAACCCAATCCAATCCAACCCAACCCAACTCAACCCAACCCAACCCAATCCAACCCAATCCAACCCAACCCAACCCAATCCAACCCAATCCAACCCAATCCAACCCAATCCAACCCAACCCAACCCAACCCAATCCAACCCAACCCAACCCAATCCAACCCAACCCAACCCAATGCAACCCAACCTAATCCAATGCAACCCAATCCAACCCAATCCAACCCAACCCAACCCAACCCAATCCAATGCAATCCAACCCAATCAATTCCAATCCAATCCAACCCACCTGGGGCTGGACTCAAGAGAGAGGGTCACGAGTTGAGTTAGTTAGAGATATAGTTAAAACAAGTAGGTTTGTAGTTTTAGTATCTTCCTTTATATAGTATATTAATGTATTTTAGCATAGTTATAATAAAGAAATCACTCAGCCTTCTGAATGGAGTCAGACATCAGCATTCTTCCCATTGGGTTCTCCTGCATTTACAATCGGGATCTCATTTTCCTTCTGCTCCTCCTGGCTTTTGCTTTCTCAGGGGTCCCTCTGGTGTGAGAGCCCAGGCCCTGGACAGCGAGGGCAACCTGGTGGATGATTTTGTGTTCGACGGGGGCTCGGGGGCCGTGGGCAGCCGGGTGCTGCACGTCAGGAACGCTCCGTCCCCCGCCGCCACCTCCTCCCTGGCCATCGCCGCCGCCATCGCCGACGAGGCCCAGCGGCGCTTCCAGCTCTGAATCCCGGAATTCCAGCAGGAATCCTGCCCCTCTGCCGCCTGGGGTTCATCCTCAGGGACACCCAGGTAGTGCCCAGGCAGCCTTGGCTCTGTGCCCACAGCCATGGCAGGGTGTGCAGCACAGGCAGAGGAGGGACGCTGGGTGTCCCTCTGGTGGGATTTTCCATGGATTTGCCGTGCCTGTGCTCACAGCCTTGCCTCCTCACAGGGCTCTGAAAAGGCATGGGCGTGGGGTGGCTCTGTGTGTGCTCTGGTTCCATTGGAATTGGAGTCTGCAGCCCTCTGGATGCCATGGAATAATGGAATAGAAGGATAAGCCCTGCTGATGTGGAATTAAAGGCTTTATCAGAGACTGAGAACAATATTCAGAGCCTTCGACGTGAATGTAGAGTATTTCACAGAAAAATAAGCTTAAAGAGGATTACCAAACCCAAGTCAATTTAGATCTGCAATTCAGATACTCTGTCTGATCGCTGTCTGTACTTTTTACAAAGCAGAAATCAAAATATGGATATAAACAATTACTTTTCATTTAATTTACAGCTGGGATATCAGCACTGATCAGGAACTTCATCAGTGTTTTTGGGTTTCTTCCTTTGAATGCTGATGATGCAAAAGGAGCTGATCTTTGTCCAGCCAGTTGAGCAATCCAGGGAAAATGGTCTTTGGAACAGGAAATGTGAAGGGAGGGAAGCTCCAGAAACATGCCTTGAGTCATGTTTGATGTTGCTTCCCTTGGAGCCCGAGCAGGGATGAGTCAGGAAGGTTTCCCATTTTCCCAGAGCACAAGGGGAGCTCAGACAGTGCTGGTGTCCCCTCTGAACTCCACTGATACCCAGTTTTTATCAGGGATACACCTGGAGGAGTCTGTGAGGAGGGAGAGGTGAACTCAGTGCTGAGCTGAGGCTCTGGGAGTGTCCTGCAGAATTGCTGTAAAGCAGAATTTTGTGGCCTCAGGGACAAAGTATCGAGGATTTTACAGCAGCTGCTGGGTAACACAGATAATTGTGGGGAGTTTGTACCAGAAAATTGGACATTAATTTTTCCTTAAAAAGTTCTTTTCTGAGCTCCTCTGATGGGAGTGGGTTAGCACAGGAGGGCAGCTGTGAGGCTGTACAGATTGGAGACACTTTTTTGAGGGGAAAAATGGCTTAATCTGCCTTTTTTAAGTTGATGTTGTTGTTATTCCTTTTTTTCCCGATAACATCTACTTTACCAGCGACTTGACTGCTGGAAATTCAAATACCAAAGTTTTGGTCACTTCAGGCAGAGATTCAGCTGTTCCAAGCCTTCCAATGCCACAGGGCTCTGTAAATCTTCCCACAGTGGAACAATCCTATCTTCCCTCCCTGCCAGAAGTGTTGCCTATCAACAGTAAATCCTACAAAAGGATTGCAAAAGCCACTTCCTCCCACATGGGGTGTGGCCCTGACATGTATTAACAGAATAAAGAACATTAAAATGCAAAGCAGACAGAGACCAGGGGGAGTCCTGAGTCAGCATTTCCCTCTGCACTGCTTTTTCCTCTCAGGTGATGATTGTTTGGGGGTAAAAATTTGTTTGGGTTTTTATTTGAAACTTAAATTATGAGCCTTGATGCAGCAGTCTGTGAAATGAGGACTTTTCAGAGATAAAAGTTTTACACTTTTGTTATAAATATGATGTCAGGGTTTTAGGCATGAATCTTGTTGCTGACAAAGTGTGAAAATGTATTAAATTATCTTCCAAATGAGCCTCACTTTGATGATTTCATAAATGTGCCTTTTGTGATTAAAATAGTGTGGTAGGGTTTTTTTAAATGCTGTAAAGTCTGTGTATTTCTCCTGACTCAGAGAAAAGCTTCACTGGAATTTGTTAATTCTCAGCTGAGTTAGGCAGGATCTCTTTCTGTGTAACAGGAATCACTGCAGGAGGGGGACACATGACCAAACTTGTCTTCTTAAATTATCTTATCTGTGCTTCTCACACCTCCCAGGACTGCTCCTGAGGCTGATCTGGGCCTGTTGTGACAGGTGGGATGAGAATTCCTGAAACTCTGAATGAATATTTGGACAAACACCATTTGTTCCCCAGCAGTGTTACAGAATCATAGAACCCCAGAGTGGTTTGGGTTGGAAAGGACCTTAAATCCCAGCCCATTCCACCCCTTCCAGGGTGCTCCAAGCTCTGTCCAGCCTGGCCTTGGACACTCACAGGGAATTTCTTCCCAATATCCCATCCAAACAGTGCCCAGCAAGGTCAATCCTAAACTCTGGAGGGAGGAACTGTGGCTCTGTGGGTTGTGCCACCATTATCCCATTATTGCTTTTCCTTTGTGCTCACAGTTTGGGTTTGAGGAACAAGTGTTAAAATAGAAATAAACAAAAATAACATAAATACAGAAATTGATATTTTAGACATATAGCTAGAATAGATATAAATACAGAAAGAAATACTTTGTTGGGAACCTCCCAGGCTGCTCTGGTGGGGCAGGAGGGTTGAGCCATGGAGCAGAAGGAGCAGTTTCTGCCTCTGGAAGCATCAGGCTCCTCCAGGAAATCTGTTACCAAGAAGGAACACCATTTTACTGGCAGGAAAGGACATTTTTTTCCCCCCTTTTGGTTTAATTTATCCATTCCCTCTGTGGACAAGTCTTAAAATTGGGGAGTGAAGGGAATATAAGGTGTGAGATTTTAATATTATGCTGGCAGGAGGGAAATGAGGGAAAATTTATCTGGATTTGGGTGATCAGTGGGTGAAGGGAATGGTGTTCTTTGGAGCAGGGAGGGAAACTCCTTCCAGGTAAGAAAAGAGTCTCTAAACAGGGAGGGAAATGCCTCCAAACAGGGAGCAGAAGAGAATTCAGATAAGGATGGGAGGCACAGGCCTCCAGGCAAGGAGAGCCACATCCTCCAGGTGGGGAGGGAAAATGCCTCCAGGTAAGAAGAGGAACATCATCCAGGCAGGGCAAAACACAGCCTGCAGGTAGGGAAATAGCATCCAGGGAGGGAGAGGAACATCCCTAGGCAGGGAGAGAAACTGCCTCCAGGAAAGGAGGGAAAGAACCTTCAGAAAAACTGCTGCCAGGCAGGGAAATACCATCTGTGAGGGAAATACCCTCTAGGTAAGGAAATTGCATTTGGGCAGGGAAATATCATTTGGGTAGGGAAATATCCTCCAGGTAGGGAATTATCATTTGGGCAGGGAAATATCCTCTAGGTAAGGAAATATTCCCTAGTTAAGGAAATCTCCTCTGGGCAGGGAAATCTCTCCTTGGAAAGGAAATATCCCCCAGGTAGGGAAACATCCCCTCGGTAAGGAAATATCCCCCAGGTAGGGAAACATCCCCTAGGTAAGGAAATAAACATCCCCTAGGTAAGGAAATAAACATCCCCTAGGTAAGGAATTATCCCCTCGGTAAAGAAACATCTTCCCTAGTTTAGGAAATCTCCCCTGGGCAGGGAAACATCCCCCAGGTAAGGAATTATCTCCTAGTTAAGGAAATCTCCCCTAGTTAAGGAAACATCCCCTAGTTTAGGAAACATCCCCTGTTTCGGAGCTCTCCCCGAGATAAGGAAACATCCCCTGGTTTAGGAACTCTCCCCTAGTTTAGGAAACCTCCCCTGGTTAAGGAAACCTCCCTTGATCTAGGGAATCTCCCCTAGGTAAGGAAACATCCTCTAGTTTAGGAAATCTCCCCTACTTTAGGAATTCTCCCTTGGCTTAGGAACTCTCTCCTAGTTTCAGAAACATCCCCTGGTTTAGGAAACATCCCCTGGTTTAGGAAGAACCCCCAAGTTTCAGAGCTGTGCCCTGCTTTAGGAACCCCCCAAGTTTCAGAGCTGTGCCCTGCTTTAGGAACCCCTCAAGTCTCTCCCCAATTTCGGAGCTGTGCCCTGGTTTAGGAAGCCCCCCAAGTTTCAGAGCTGTGCCCTGCTTTAGGAAGCACCCCCTGGTTTAGGAACCCCCCAAGTTTCGGAGCTCTCCCCTAGTTTTAGGAAGCCCCCCAAGTTTCGGAGCTGTGCCCTGGTCTGGGAACCCCCAAGTTTCAGAGCTGTGCCCTGGTTTGGGAAACACCCCCAAGTTTCGGAGCTGTGCCCTGGTCTGGGAACCCCCAAGTTTCAGAGCTCTCCCCTGGTTTAGGAACCCCCCAATTTCTCCCCAATTTCGGAGCTGTGCCCTGCTTTAGGAACCCCCCAAGTCTCTCCCCAAGTTTCGGAGGTCTCCGCCCCGCGCACTCTCCGCTGCAGTTCCGGGCGCGGCCCGCAGGGGGCGCGCGGGGCGGGCGGCGCAGGCGCGCAGGGCGGCGGCCGCGGGCGGCGGCGGCAGCGGGGCCGCAGCGAGCGGGGCCCGGCCCGGCCCGTCCCGTCCCGACCCCCGCCCGGCGCCTCCCCGGAGCCCCGAGCGGCCCCGCCGAGCCCCGAGCGGCCCCGCCGAGCCATGGCGGCGCGGCCGGGCGGGTGAGCGGCGACACCGCGGCGGCCCGGCGGTCCCCGATGCGGAGCGGCCGCCATGCAGCCGCCGCCGCAGCCCTACGAGTTCCTGGGCGAGGAGAACGGCCCGAAATGGCGCGGCCTCTTCGTGCCCGCCCTGCGCAAGGTCAGTCCCGGCGGCGGCACCTGCTCCGAGCCCGCCCCGCGTCCCACGGAGGGCCCCGAGCCCCGCGGCTCCCTCAGCGCGGCGGGGCCGTGAGGGAGCGGGCGGGCATTGCCGCTGCTCCGGCACCTGCGCTCGCTGATGTCCGCCCCGCTCCGCTTTAACGGGGCTCTGCCTCACAGGGCTGGTGTCCCGCACGGGTTCGGCTTGGAAAGGGTTTTAAATCCCATCTCGGTTCCGCTATCCGATACGGGCAGGGATCCCGTCTGCTGTCCCAGCTGCTCCAAGCCCTGTCCAGCCTGGCCTTGGGCACTGACAGGGATCCAGGGGCAGCCACAGCTGCTCTGGGTACCCTGATAGCGGTGCTGATGTGCAGGGGAATGGCATCCTTCATCCCTTCCTTCATCCCTTCCTTGTTCCCTTCCTTCATCCCATCCTACATCCCATCCTACATCCCTTCCTTCACCCCTTCCTTCACCCCTTCCTTCATCCCTTCCTTCATCCCTTCGTGCACCCCTTCCTTCACCCCTTCCTTCACCCCTTCCTTCACCCCTTCCTTCATCCCTTCCTTGTTCCCTTCCTTCACCCCTTCCTGCACCCCTTCCTTCATCCCATCCTACATCCCTTCCTTCACCCCTTCCTACATCCCTTCCTCCACCCCTTCCTTCATCCCTTCCTTCACCCCTTCCTTCATCCCTTTCTTCACGCCTTTCTTCACCCCTTCCTTCACCCCTTCCTACATCCCTTCCTTCACCCCTTCCTTCACCCCTTCCTTCATCCCTTCCTTCACCCCTTCCTTCATCCCTTCCTTCATCCCTTCCTTCATCCCTTCGTGCACCCCTTCCTTCACCCCTTCCTTCACCCCTTCCTTCATCCCTTCCTTCATCCCTTCCTTCACCCCTTCCTTCATCCCTTCCTTCACCCCTTTCTTCACCCCTTCCTTGATCCCTTCCTTCATCCCTTCGTGCACCCCTTCCTTCATCCCTTCCTTCACCCCTTCCTTCATCCCTTCCTTCATCCCTTCCTTCACCCCTTCCTTCACCCCTTTTTCACCCCGTCCCCACGGCGTTTCTCCTGACAGCTTTTCCAGGCTCTTTCCCGAGCCGGATTCCTGCACCGCGCTGTTCCCGGCTCTCAGGTGACACCTGTGAGAGCAGCCACCTGTGGTGCAGGGCAAAGCCACCCTGACACATCTGCCACTGCACGCAGGAGGTGAATCCCTGCTTTTAGGATGTGAATCTGTGTTTTTAGAATGTGAATCCGTGTTTTTGGGATGTGTTTACACAGCAGGGGAGCTCCAGCCCACCCCCTCTTCCACAGGACACCCCAGCAGGGTAAAAAGTGATAAACTGAGGCTGGAGGGAACAATGCCCTGCTGTGTGGCATTTGCAAAAGTTGAGGGTTATTCCATAATTCTGACCATCATTACCTGCTGATCCTCATCTCTGCTGCTGGCCAGGACTGCCATACGACTCCCAGTTTTAATATCCTACATGTGAGTTGCATAAAAGGTTTTTGGGAATTGTAGTTGAAAAATTAATTTGTATCAAATACCTTCCATTGGTACTTGGAATAAATTTCTATTCCTTTTATTTATTTTTCTAATTTCTCTGGAGTCTGACCTAAAGCAGCCCTTTAACACCAACCAGCATCTGCCCAAAGGTACTTTAGGTACTTTAGGCAATGGTGAGTGGTTTGTCTCTTTTTTTCCCCAAGAACAGATGTGGTGATGCTGTTGGATAATGATTCTTCGTTATATTTTTAAATAGAATAAAAGACTTGCATTTGTTTTGGGTGCCTGTCTAAGTAGGCTTGTGGCTGGCATAGAAACCACTAATTGCCTGTCTGAAGAATCCTGGATTTTCTGCTCTTTACCCAAAAATCTTCTCCTCATAGAAGCTGCTTTCCAGTGTCTTAGAGAATGCCAGGCTGTTCTTTTCCTGATTTCTCTGGAATCTGACCTGAAGCAGCCCCTTAACACCAATCAGCATCTGCCCAAACGTGAGCTACAGCTGCAAAAAGATTATTCCCTTAAAATTTAGAGGTGCTTTCATCATCCTAAAATACAAATACTGCAGAAGTTGTTGGGTTCGTGCTGCTTTACCAATTATTTCTATTTGTGCATTTGGTTTTGGTGAAAAAAGCAGCAATTTCAGC